ACATGACTAAGCAAGAATTTATTGCCTCTCTAAGAAGGTTTTGCCTTGATTTATTCTATAATTTCTTGTGGTAATTGTTTTTCGTCTTTTTTTGTGTATCAATTATTCTTATCGGATTGTGTCGTTCAAATATTTACAGGAAAAGTAGTGGTTTCTCTCGAGGAGCTTCGATCTACCGGGGTGTGACAAGGTATCAATTTTTTTGCAAGTTGTTACTCCCTTTGTTTCATTTTACTTGGCACATATAAGGCTAGTTTAGTAAAATGCACAAGATTTCTTTTTTTAATTAAGGATTGTGCCTAGACCAAGTAAATATGAAATAGATGGTATACCTTCTTAAATTATTGTCAGTGTCATATACCGATCTTAGTAATACTATGCCAAATTATGTAAAAGATCACATTTAACGAGTCCGGTTGAATGGCGATTTTCAACACGGTGTTTTTTAAGAAGTGCAATGGGGTTTGATCAGAACCCTTAAAAGTTGGACGTGTTGAGATTAAAAAAAATGTCTTACAAGAGACGGATAATTCTTTTCTTGTTGTGGCGGTGACTTGACGCTTGATGAAAACGTTGCAGGCATCATCAACAAGGCCGTTGGCAAGCGAGAATTGGCCGAGTTGCTGGAAACAAGGATCTTTACCTTGGAACATTTGGTAAATTATTGTTCTTATTATTCAAATTGGAGTTAGAACTATAAATGAAGTTTTAAAAGTGTTAATCGAAATCTGTATTATATTGTCAACAGCTACTGAGGAGGAAGCTGCGGAAGCGTATGACATAGCAGCCATAAAGTTCAGGGGAGTGAATGCTGTGACCAACTTCGAGATGAATCGTTATGATGTCGAGGCCATCATGAAAAGCTCCCTTCCAGTTGGTGGAACCGCTAAGCGTTTGAAGCTCTCCCTTGAATCCGAGCAGAAATCATCATCGAGCAATAACAACAACCAGCAGCAGCAGATGACTCAATGCAACAGTAGCAACAACATCAATTTCGGGGCAATGCCACCCGTCTCTGCTATCCCGTGTGGAGTGCCATTTGATAACACCGCCCCTGCTTTCTATCACCACAACTTCTTCCAGTACCTCCACCCCGGCAATGCAAGTGTCCCCGATGCTTCCAACGCTACAACCACCATGGCAGCTGCAATGCCGCTGCTGCCCTCGGCTGCTGACCTCTTCATCTGGCCTCATCAATCCTATTGACCAACCTTATGATGATACAATAGCTAGGCTAGCTAGTTCTTACTGATTAGCGAAACTCGACTCTTGCTTATGTGTTAGATCGTCTATTGTTTTTCGTACTGACCTTTTCTCTCTGACCCGTGATAGCGTTATAGTGTAGCGTTTAGCCGGTATCCGGTATCGACAGGTTGAATGTTGTAAAGTGTCTTCAAGTCTAAGACTATTTTAAGTAGTAGATGCAATGCTGAACAGGGTACTTTGGGAGCACTCATTGTGGAAAAATTTTGCTTTTCTTTTTCTCCAGGTTCCATAATCTTTCTTGAGTTGCTCCCAAGGACCATATCGATGTTTTGCAAGTCAAATTGACATAGAAAAAAAAATGAAAATGATATAAAGCGCTTTACATTTTGCAATTTGCTTCTTTCTTCATTTGTTTTGTCATTCAATGATGTACCAATTAAATATCTAGTTCAAGATTGAAGTGAAGTCTGGGAGGGTAGTGTGTACGTAAATGTTTGAAGATTGGCTTACGTCCCATTCTTACCTGGGACGTGTATGTAATCTTACCCTTGTGATGTTTTAGGTAGATTTTTGGGATGTGTATGTGATCTTACCCTTGTCGTATTGATGTAGATTTTTGAAACGTGTATGCAGTATTACCCTTGTCATGCTAAGATAGATTTTTGGGACTTTGTATGCAATCTTACCCATGTCTTGAAGATAAAAATATTGTTTTCGGTAGATGTTTCGTCTTGAAGATAGAAATATTGTTTTCAGTAGATGTTTCGTTTATATGCAATTTTATACTTTTTTGGTGAAGGTTTTTAAATTAACCTTCGGTGTGTATGCGGTTCTATTTTTATATTGTGTAAGTAGAGAAAGATTGAGAGGATATCTACAGTAGAGTCTCGATTCAAATCAAGAAACATGTCATACAAGAATCGAAGAGTGAGATGATAAGAAAGTAATGTAGTAACGGAGGAAAATGAAATCAGACAACATTCGATTATCTACTAACCTTCTATTCAAATGCTCGATTATCATAACTTTTTATCTAGAATCATGACTCTGATAAGCTACGTATGTCATGTCTTTTATCATCTACTAGTGTAACAAGATTACAATATATTTTATGTCATTTACATAATCAAAGTAGAAGTTAGTGAATGAACACTAAATAAAGCGTAGTCAAATAACATCAACTTGAAATATTATGTAACTGAAAGTATTTCATAAATTTATCCAAATATCTATTTTTTAAAATTTTATTTTAGTTTTAAAGGAGGTCATTTCATTGCTTTTTTTCTTTTTTCAAAATCATTTCATAACAGACTGCAATACACCTTACCATAACCAAAAGGTGGAAGTGATTTGGGAAATAGTCAACAAAAGACAAAGTATACGCTATGTAAAAAGTAATCATTAGCGATAATTAATTCTTAATTGCTGTTAAATATGTATTTTTAGTGGCAATTAAACCTTTAGCGACATTGATTCTAATGACATTTAACTAGTGCCGATAAAGACTTTAACAGTTTTTATTAATGTCAATACTTATTATCGCTAAAAATTATTTTTGTTATAGCGATAATACTTTAATAAGATTTTTCATGATTCATTTTGAGCGAAATATCAACTCAAACTCTAACGGTTATAATAGATTGATACAATGAACTGAGCTAATAAATGAATGAGTCAGTACTCAATTCAAATTTAGACGGATTGGTCGAGTTATGATTTCATGGGGTGATTTTGTCATGTCTATGTATATTAAGTAGCAAGTTGAGATGTAATTGAGATTGGATTTTGAAATTTTCAGCATGGAAATGATGGATGTTATCAACTCAATCAAACATAGAATAGTTGATGACCTTTTTTTTTACAAGATATACTAGTTACATCATATAAGGTTTTGATGTTTTGTCAGTTTGAAACCATACTTTTAGCCCATTTCTCACTATGGTTATGAAACAAACACAATATAATATTGAAAAAAAAATCACATATAGAGACAATATTTGTTACCTATTGATCAAGAAAGTTTTGTCCAATTTTTCAAATGAGCTTTTCCCCTATGTATCTTTCGTGCGAGGGTTTGCGTCGCTAAAATCCAATAAATTCATACGATGATAAATGAAATGTAAATGCACGGTGAGCATAGTAACTTCGACATAAGATATCTCATTAATTGATAAAAGTTAACACCAAACTAATCAAAAATATTAAAAACAAAGCTACGTTGATAAAAAAAAATCAATGGATCAATTGTTATGACATAAGATAATTCCTAAAACACATGAAAACGGATGAAAAAGTAAGTGAGACAGAAAAGAAACATATTTACCTTAAGACTGCTAAATTTATATAACCTTATTATACCGTAATAAACATTTCTTCGGACTTTTACCTCGCTCCATTAAACATTCTTAAATTTTCTTATACTTTTTATACTTTTATTTTGTAATGTTTTACTTTATTTTACATTTTAATTTTTTAAAGATTTGTATCCATTCAAATACATATTACTAGGAAAATTATCATGAATCTCTAAAAACGTGTAAATATAAATAAAAGCCATTGTCAATTTCTTCTAGTTCAATCAAACAAGTTTAATTTCTATCTCTCTAAAATATATTTGAAAAAAATAGTAAAATGTAAATATAACTAAGAATATATAGAAATAAAATGATAGATAAATTTAAGAAGAATATAAAAACTTATGCATGTTGAACATGGAATTCAAATTGCTCAACACCTTAACAATTCAATCAAAACTTCTCACTTGTTTCAAGGGATTCATTTTAATGTATGTATATGTAAAATCAGAACTTGACCCTATATATAGTGTAATTTCTTGGGAGTTCGGGTGAATCCCTAGACACAACCTTGGTCCACCCCTGTCATAAGAAAAGTTTTATTTTTATAATGTTAAATTAAAGATATATATACATCAAAATATTTTTTAGTTTTGTAATTTTAAATATATCATGTGGAAGTTAAATTTTAAAATTGATCCACAAAAGGAAATATTCTTTAATGATTCGAAAAAAATTAAAATATTATTTATTTTTTTGGTTAAAATAATTTCATCATTACTAAAAACTTAGGCTCTTTGATATCAAGGCCATAAGTCATATGCCTCATCTTTAAAGACATTGAGCCACTTTTGTTTTTTAACAGTTTAGGAAATGAAAGCTGAACTTTCCTTTGGTTCTTTCCTAAGGCGACCTTTTTTTTTATAATCTATTTTTAAGAAACTCAGAAAAATATTAAAAAATTTAAAAAGAAATATTTTCTAAGTCTAAATTTAAAAAGAAAAACAAAATTATTTGGAAAAGTTTCAAAAGAAACCACAAAATGGTTTATCAAAAGTATTGGACAGAAAGTGCAAGTGCACATATCGATGATAAAATGAACAAAGGTCGTTTGAGATAGTTTTTTCATGTTATGCATTGACTTTCAAATGGATTGGTCCATAAATATGAAATCATGGTGAATTGAAGGGTGTTAAAATAGGGCGATATACACCTAAAACTACATATAATGAATAAATTGTCTTAAAAGACATATAGTCTCTTATAATCTTTGGAGACCTAAGCAAAAAATAGAGCACAATTAGAGAAAAAATAGGCTTTGTTGACGATAACGACATGTTTATATGTTTAGTTTTAATTTCTAATTACTATTAACATGTAGTCGTTGTTATTACTACAATATCAAAATAGTTTTTTGTAGCAATGACCTCGTTAAGTAGAGATAATATTTGTATATACACTATTCTTCGCAGACCTCATTTATGAAATATCAATATATTGTTATTGTTAGACAATTGAAAGTACACATAATATAAAAGTATACATTTTTAAAAAAAAGATAATATACGAGATGAGGGATTGGGCCGATTAACTATCTTAATCGGCCCAATCCCTCACGAGCCGAAACCAAATCAGGCTCAACCTTTAAAGCCTCTTCAAAAGCATTATGGGCCTCAATTTTCAAGCCCTTAATCTCATAACATTGGCCCAACAAACAAAAGGCCTTAGCCCGATCCGAACAATTCAATTTTACAGCTTCTAATAGATCCATTAAAGCCGAATCAACCCGTCTCTTCCGGTTCAACGCCACCAGTAACTCCGCCCGTTTCAGCAGCGCATCCGCTCTTTCGCCGCCGGACAACAACTTCACCGCTGGCGGAGATAAGGCGGAATCCAACGATCTTAAAGCGGAGAGTTTGTGTCCGATTAGATCGAGTGATAAAGCTTTGAGAATATGAGCTGCTGGATCTTTAGGATCGATCGATAAAGCTTTATCAGCTTCGCCGGCGGCGAGTTTAGCGAGGTTGAAGGAGATGCTTTTTTTGCTCCGATTTGATTTTGCACGGGAGAGGAATTGAGCGCCTTTGATGAAATGGGAATTGGCTTGGTTTGTGGATCGGGTTTTTGATCGGAGTCGGGTTAAGGCTTGTTTGGGGAAATTATAAATGGTGTAGAAAATTCCGAGAGTGAAAAGAAGGATAACTAGCTGAATCAGTATGTCTGTTTCCATTTTTTTTGGGTGTGACAGCCAAACAGGGACTTAGCTTTGAGCTTCACTAATTCTTGTGTTTTAATGGAGGACTGTATTCTATTTCGATTTTTGATGAGGGTGGGTTTGAATAATTTTTTTGCAGACCCATAGACAATTATAGGCCCATTGGGCTCGGGTAATTCGAATTCATATTGTGTAAACTCATTAATACTCCTTTTTTTTTAAAAAAAAAGTGATTTTTTTTTAGTCTGTTTAAAATAGAATATCTTTTTTCAATAACATTTTAATTTCGACAATTTTATATATTCAACCTAATTTTAATTTAAGATCACAACATTCAAACGTTACTTTATACTGTGAAACTCCGTGTCAGGTCATTATTTGTGAAACAGAAAATGCAAGTGAGAGAATCAGAAGCCGTCAGAAAGTGGTTAATTTGGCGTATTACCAAATTAGCCTCTATTGTCACACATTTAGATATAGGGATATTGAGAATACACCTTCAAGGAACAATGGTTTTGCTAGAATAGGCTATAATGAGATCGTTGTTTTGGTGAGTGATGCAAAAAGGAGAACTTTTTAGTTAAAATTGGAGGAATAAAATGAAAAATGCTCGATGAAGACTCAAACTCGAGATGTCTTATTAAGTGTGGAGAGTCTGAAATGAACTGTTTTAATCATTTTACCATATGTTATAAATGATTTAATAAAGTACAATCACTTGCTTTTTACTGTATCAATTTTGTGCTGCAACATTTTCACATCCAAATATTGAGACAGTGCAAGACAAACTCAGATGTTTTTGATACTGCTTCTCAGAGTTAAGATGTACAGCATCTCGAAAACTTTCAACCCGAAAAAAGAAGCTAGTGGAATAATAATACTGGATTGAACTCTTGATTTTACAAGATATATGTACAAAAAGAAGAACAAGTAGAGGAATAACTAAGAGCAGCAGATGGCAGAATATCGATTGATTGATGATATGAGATGAGACTCGATGATATCAAGATCAAAACATTACTCCATAACGAGCTGCATATGACGATTGAGATCCTTGAGATAAGTTGTGCTACTGTAATCTTCTAAATCACAAGCATCTAGCATCAATGCTCTTCCTCCTGTCGATTTCTGCTTCATGTCTATTGGTAAGTTCTCGCCTTTCAATAGCTGAACAGCCTGCATTCTCCAACAATTTTACATACACTCAGGCAAAATGATCATTTTGTACTATTCAATATCATTGTGTATCAAATTTGAAGTCAAATTCAAGTTAGGTTTTGTTTGAAATCCTAGTTTTCGCGAAAGGACAAGTTATCTAGATCACTAGCTCTATGACCAAGTATTGCAAGGTGTTCAAGTCTTCATGTAATCAATAAATTTCATTTGAAATGTCTTTGTACTTTAACAACTAGGGTTGTAAATAGGGCGGGGTAAGGCAAGTCTTAACCATGTAAAATTTTTGACTAGGTCTACCCTGTTGTGTTTATCATATGTTGCTATTTTAGACTTGCCTTGCCCTACCCTGCTAAGTCTTTCCCAATATAAGTTTTCAAGTTGTCGTATCCATCTTTGGAAAATAGAAATGCTCGTAATGTCAGTATAGAAATGATTCGCGAAGATAAGGACATACCCGTATCATGTTGGGACGCATGTTTGGCAAGTGATGAATGCATGTAGAAGCTGTAAACATAGCTCGTTTCATCTCAACAACATCATAAGCATCTCCTAGACGAGGGTCCGCTAATTCCTTGACATTGTTCTGTTCCAGCAGTGGTTTTGCCTATGCAAATATGGCAGCAGATATGAATGTTTCATACAGAGACATGCAGAACAAAAGGGAAAACACGACAGCCAAACCAAAAGCACGTCCAGGATTCAGAATGAGGGTAATCTTATCTTACGTATACATTTTAAATTCGTTTTGCATGTGTACATTGTTCAAGTCGAGAGTAATGAGTTCAGTGAGGCCATACCGACATTACTAGACTCTGTCTTGATGAATCAACAGCACGACGACCAGTTATAAGCTCCAATAGCAGAACACCAAAGGCAAATACATCGGTCTTCTCATGAACAATCCCGTGCATAAAATACTCTGGTGCCATATATCTGAGAACCATTTTTGCCATTTTTTAACGAACTAACACATCTAAAAAGGCAATCGAACTAAACTTTACATACCCGAAAGTGCCTTCAATAGGAGAAACTATATGATGAACCCATTTTTCTGGCAGCCACTTTGCTAGTCCAAAATCAGATATCTGCAGCAACACAAACAACAAAAGAAAAAAAGTTTGAAACCCTCAAGTAACTGACATGAAATTATTCATTGAAAGTGAAGTTTCGAAAGCTAAACAAGATTGATTTTTCAAACCTGAGGTTCATAATCTTCGGTTAGAAGAATGTTTGAGGCTGTAATATCTCTATGGATTATGCGCCTTTGGCAATCACAGTGAAGATAACGTAATCCTTCAGCTACGCCAACCGCCACTTTATATCTTATTTTCCATTCAAGACACTCTTCTCTACCTGAAATGCTGAGTTCTCCTTTTATCAGTAAAAACTACATCAAAATCCCAATTCATCACATTACATTTCATATTCTACTTTGCATTATCATTGTATTTAAACACGTTGTCGTCAGTCAGTGACCACCGAGACATGAATACTAACAAAGGCATAAGGAGCATGAAGACTACATCATTTGCTCCAACTTATTACTAACAGTCTGTTCAGGATTCCAAACTCAACGAAGGTAAATTAACACGAGTGGTATGCTCATTGTAGGACTTAACCAACCCCCTAATACATGTCCAAGTAATAAAGCATTACACTAGAAAATCAAGATTAAGTGAGAGAGAAATACAGCACCGTGTAGTACGGAAGCGAGGCTGCCATGGTGCAAGTACTGAAGAACAAGGTGCAAACCACCATCAACACTAAAACCAATTAACTTAGCAGCATTAGTGTTGTTGATATGAGCAATGATTCCTAGCTCAGACAAGAAGTCTCCAACTCTATCCTCGTCATTCTTTTCTTTCTTTGTAATTTTCTTGACAGCAACAACTTGACCATCTTGTAAATGACCTTTGTACACTTCGGCATGTCCTCCTTTGCCGATTAAGTTATCTACTCACATTTTCAACACATAATATTAGTAGAGTACTAGCATAAATTACCTACAAAGGAAGTTTATGTTGGCACCTTTTGCTTGAAGTTACTTGAAGATTATGCAATCTATAATTATAAGAGTTTAGTTTAATAGTAAATTAGCTTGAAAGTAACATGTCTTATGAAGAACTGTGGGATTCTTGACGAAGGCTAATTCAAAATTTAAATTTTATGAACGGTTATAACAATCTCAATTTTATATCCAATAGTAACTAGGTTCACATACAAAAACTACAAAGTCCACGTGAACTCATAGACGACAGTCTAGATCCACCCTTGATTCTTAGACAGTTGGATGGTTCTTTTGCTCTATTCTTCTTGAGTCAATCATAATGGCCTTGTGGGGGGCTCAGACGAATGGTCAATGAAAGTGGTGAAAGTCATAGAAGTTCAAATTCCAATAAACATAGAAAAAGCTAGGATATATTTTATAAAATGAGAAATTTTGTAGAGCTAGGGTGTGTGACTCGAAACTTAATAGATAATTGGCCCGCCCTTCTACCTTTCAGGCCTTCAAAATACCAAGTAAACTTATTTTTCCCATTTATTTAAGCCTTGGTGAGTAGATTTAACCGATATTTGTGTGTGGTGACTTGACGTGATAGTTATTGTGCACGAAAGCTGTTTCCAATACTACCTTTTATCCAAAAAAAAAAAAAAGATAGGCAATAAGCTGCTGGCATGTGCAAGATGAGTACACCTGCAGCTGCTCCAGCTACATCAACTAGGCCTTACTTAAACCAGAAATTTCAGTTCTGATGGGACAACTTGAAACACCAAGGCCCATAGACAAATAATTGGATTCATGGTTGGTTGTCACTTGTCACTCTCTCTTAGGTATGGTTCAAGAATTCATATACACATTTTTTTAGAAAGATTACTAATTTCCACCAATATTACATTTTAAAGATCTTATATATTTGTGTAGAAGTATAACAAGGGGTGTTTCAAAATATAAAAAGGATTTTTTATGTATATATATTTTTGGGTTGGTAAGTGAAGCTAGTAGTCAAATGGTGTAAATAAGCAGGTCCCCACTAGTCCTTTTTGGGTTTTCCCACCTAATGTCTACGAGGTTCGAGTAATTTAAATTTGAGATTAAATTTTTTATTCTAGGTAATAAAAATTCCTTATTTCTTCAATTCTTGAATCGAAAATCTATCAGAATTAACACTAATCCTACTCTCGTAAGGTAGTAAAATCTTCGTACACTCTACGCTTCTCAAATCTCATCTCATGAGATTATACTAAATATATTATTGTTGTTGAAACTCACCTTATCAAAAGAGATTACTAAGTATTATTTGTCTTTATCTCTTCACTCCTCGAGTCAAATGTCTATTAGAAACAATATCTTTAACCTTACAAAGTAGAGATAAAATCTCCATATGCTCTATGCTCTCCAAATCCATTTTACGAAATTATACTAAATATGTTATTATTGTTGAAACATATCTTATTGAACTATATATTTAGGGCTCGAACTTAAGACCTTTCTTATCACCTCATCACGACCTTTGCTGGTGGTTCCCACAAGTCACTGTCAATTTCACTTTTGTAATAAAAATGTTGAGCAGTCCATGTTTACTTTTTCTGCCTTGGGCCAAAGAAAAGTCTCAAGATCAAGTATTAAGCTTCTTTGACTAGTGAATGAGAAATGTGGGGTAGTTGAATTCCCCAAGAACCCAACATTTTAAAACTAATACTTAAATGTGAACTTTATTATATAACAAAGACAATAGCATGCGGCCTTAATATGCACTAAAAAGTACTCTGCATATGTCCCATGCCTCTTTAGAGTCAAGCTATTTTAAGTTGATCATATTTTTATGTTTTTTTCCTTAATATTTTTATACAATATCCAAATTATCCATATAACCCTAACATTTCTTTCTTCTATTTTTCCCTTTTCACGTTTGGCATAACAACTTCAGTACTTTTATCCAAACGCATAACTGCTTATTTTAAAAATAAGTTTCAGCACTTTCAAAAGTACTTTTTTAAAGTTGCTTTTATTAAGCCCATC